CATATGATTTCTTATTAAAATATTTTAGTTTATATAAAGAAGATGTACTTTATCAAGGTGATACGAAAGATTTACCTGAATATACGTCTCAACCTGATATACCAACTTACATTCAACAAACAACAAAAGTTCCTGAAACTGTAGAAAAAACAAAAATGAAAGCATTTTGGGATATATTTCTTTCGATGGCAGATTTTAATATTTTAACTGATAAGAAAATGCTTATTATTTGTTTGGTAAACTATTAAAAAAACTACAAAATCTTTTCTCATTTTTTTCTTAATACTTTTTCCAAAAGGCAAATGTTTGTTCAATGATTGGTTTTTATTCACCTTATTTATTTATTCCAAAACTAGCTGAATTAGAGAGATCGATTCCTAAGGCCTCAGCTGTTTTTCTACTCTCAATTATTGGTAAGTATAATGATTTTATAAATACAATTGATACTAAAAAAAAAAGTTCCAATTTTTTCTAGGTTTCAGTAATACAGCTGGTCGATTTGCATCTGGATATATAACAAAAATTCCTTATATGTCACCATTACTTGTTAATAACATCGGCTTAATTGTTGCTGGTATTGCTACATTACTTGTGCCATTATGTCAAACACATATACACCTTATCTTTTATTGTATTATTTGGGGTGGCTTTATTGGTAAAATTCATTTTCTTTTCATGAACATTTTTATATAACTTATATTTTTAGCATTTCATGTTTCATTAAGTCTAATAATTGTATGTCAAACTGTTGGCCTTGAACGTTATAGTAATGCGTTAGGTTTAACATTAATGTTTCGAGGTATTACTGCATTATCTGCTCCACCTGTAAGTCTTCGAATGTTTTTAAATAGATATTTATTGAGAATTTATTTAGATCATGGGTGCTATTCGTGATGCTACAAACAGTTTTGATATAGCATTTATCATTGGTGGTATTAGTTTTATAATAAGTGCATTGATGTACTTTTATCTTATGTGGATTATTCGTCGAGAGGAAGAGCAATTGAATAGAACAAAGAAAATTAATAATATTCAAAGAACACCAGCTTCATTAGATATATAATTTTATACGAATATTATCTTTTCTTTCTTGAATTCTATTCTGTTATATAGTGTTCTTTTTCCATTTCGAACAGTAACAATTTTATTTTGTATACGAATAACCGATAATATTTTATTAAGAAATTATCAAAATATTCACGTTTCATAAAAACAATTTGGAAGTTTTATAGCACAAAAAAAATGAAGGAAGACATTAAAGTTCGGAAAACATTTTTTTTTAATTCATCATAAATTTGTTTTGAATCGGAATGATTTTTATAAATATCAAGTGAACTTTTGATCGCACGAAAACTATTTTGTAAATCACCTTGCTAAAAATATTACAACAAAATTATTTTTTCTATAAAACTATTTTTATTTTACCTGATACATCGATTTACCATAATTAAAATAGGGTTCAAACATATGCGGTGCAAGACTTTGAGCTGTTTGTAAATAAGCTTGACCCTAGAAGAAAATATTTTTCATAAGATTAAAGCATTATTATGTTTACTATTTCATTATTTTCTCGTTGTAATTCAACTAAACCTAAATTATTATAAGCTTCGGCATGATCATTATTATGTACAAGTGCTAGACGAAAACATTGTATCGCAAGATTAATATCAGTTGTATACTACAAAAAAAAACAGAACGAAGAAGTTTTAATCATATATAAATCTATGCTTACTAATGCCATTTCACCAATATTATACCAAATTTCTGCACGTTCTTCATCCGTTGTTGCACTTGCTAATGCTTTTAAAAAACAAGCGACAATCATATCATATTGTTGAGCATGAAAGCAACATAATCCAATATTTGTAAATATTGCTGATGATGATATACCCATTTGTAAAAGACGACGATAGAATTTTAATGATATTTCAGGTTGATCATTATAAAAATGATTTGCAGCTATACAAGCAATTGCTTCAATATTTGTATTATCTAATTTTAGTACTTGTCGATAATGTTCAATACTTTGTGGTATATTATTAAGACCCTAGGAATAAAATCAATTTAAATAATCATTTTGTTTTCTCTAAAAATATACTTCATAAACACGAGCAATAGCTTGAACTAAGCATAATTCTAATGGAAATTTTTCTAAACCTTCTTGTAATTTTTTTATTGATAATAATGGTTGATCAAGACGAAGATATACTTTAGCTAAATATAAATATGTATCAACCATAGGTTGAATTTCTAATGATAGAAGGTAATATTTTTCACTATCACGAAACATATCTAAACTAAAAAAAAGAAATCGATGTTAGTATATGAATATATAAAAATAAATTTTAATACCGATGATAAGATTTACCAATTTGTACTAACCACCACCAATCTTTATTTTGAAATGTTTCATTAGCAAGAATAGCTAATTGAAGAGCCTTAATAATGAATGAATATTAGTCAATAGAGATAGTTATTATTTATTCATACTGTTCGAATATCATTTGCATGATGAAATAAATGTTCAAAAAGAGATCGAGCTATTGCTTCTTTTTGAGCATATTTAGGTAGATTTAATCGACCTACTTGAAGAAATGGACCATCTGGAGTACTTAACATTGAAGCCTACAAATATTTAATTCATCATCTAAAAAACATAGATATATTAACTTACTGTTCCAAGTCGTACAAAACGACCTGTAGCTCCTGTTATTGGTCTTGCTGTTGCTGCTGTACGAGCAGTTTTTAATGCATTTTCCATACTTTTCCCACCCTGTGTTGATTGAGTACCTAATCGTAACATACCAGTTATAGGTCGACCTGACATAGTCGTAGGTCTCATTGCTGGACTTGGTCCATTCATTCCACTATTTGCATCAGCTGTTGGTTGTCGCATTGATGTTCCAGGCATGGGTGCTTGATGAAAAGCATTATCATCTAATATATCAACAAGACCAATATCAGCTACTTCAGTTTCATCAACATAAAGTTGTTCTGTTAAAGCACGCATTTTTAATAACCACGCTACCTACAATTTCCCAAAATTTCCTATTGATAAATTTATGTAAATCTCTTACCTGATCATTTGGATTTTTGTCTAATAAATTTGTTGTTATATCAACACATTGTTCAAATTTTCGACGACGATAACAACTCATCGCCATAAATAATGGATCCATTTGGGGCATCGTTCTAATATCTCTAATAAATACCTAATCTTAATCCTTGATTAAATTGTACAACAACCATTCATATTCTCTAATACGATATCGTTGCTTAGTAAGGTATATGTGGCGACACATAATCCATATAAAATCTAAACGATTAAAATTTAGTATTCAACGTAATATTATATGTAAAAATATATTCGCAATTTTTTTCTAAGAAAATCTCGATAAAAAAAATTCAAAAATGATTCCAATGACACATGATGATGTGGTCTTTATTTTCATTGGTTGATCGAAATGATTTGCAATAGAAAATAAAAATAATACTTTTTAGAACTAGAGTCATTCATCCATATTTGTAATTAGTTCTTTCATATTTCGAACAATGCTAGGCTTATCATTACCTACTTTTTTAATCTCTATTATATTTCTTCTAAAACAAATTGGTGCTAGTGAATTAACATTTGAATTACCAGATAATGCTAAAGAATGTTTTCATGAGAAACTTAAAGTTGGCTCGAAATTTACATTAGAATATCAAGTTAGTTTGAATATTCGGAAACGTAATTGCATATCTAATTATATTTTATATTATTTCATAGGTTGTAACAGGTGGAAATTATGATGTTGATCTTGAATTAAAATCTCCATCAGAAAAAATCCTATATAAAGAAACTAAAAAACAATATGATCAAATTGAAAAAACCGTTGAAGAAGATGGTGTTTATGTATTTTGTTTTAGTAATGAATTTTCAACAATTACCCATAAAGTTATTTATATAGGTTTGAAAACAAAAAATATAAAAAGAAATATTTAATTTATTTTCATAGATTGGAAAGTTGATGGAGATCCGGAACATGAAATATCTGGTCCAGGACCAAAAGTTGCAGCAGGCGCATTAACAATGGTATATAGAATCTTATATTTTTTCAAATAATATCATCCGTTTTTTTTCTAGATTGAATCAAATGTTGCTAGAATACATGAAAATCTCGAGCAAGCTATTGATTATCAAACACATCATCGTTTACGTGAAGCTACAGGACGTGCACGAGCAGAAGATTTACGAGAGCGTGTACAAATTTGGTCTTTAGGGCAATTTATTTTGATTATAATCGTAGCAATTGGTACTGTTTTATTACTTCGTTCGTTTTTTACTGATCGAAGAACAGGATCTAGTATGGCATGGAATCGATAAACAGAGTTGAACTTTAAATGGTGATATTATTTTTTTCTTTCCTCATTAAACAATTCTTTCTGTTGAATTATATTATTGTTATTAGTTTTCATTTTTCAACACTTATTTTAATGTATAGCTCAATTTATGTCTCACAAAGAAAACCTATTATCTCTTCTTCTCGTTTTTTTTCTATTTAATTCTTTCTCAGTTTTTTTGGAACAACTTAAATGACGTACCGGAAAATCGAGAAATTATTTGTATTTGTCTTGTTAAACATTGCTTTTCTTTTTCCTTTTTCTTTTTTTTTTGCTTTATTGTTGTTATATCATTATAAACGTCGTTTAAGAATAAAAAATCAGTTCTTTTCGACTAATATCTCGACATTGAACGTTTATCATTTTATTAGACAATAGCAGAAGAAGACATTTTTCTTTCCTTCGAAAATCGTACCTGTCAATGCAGAATAGATTTCTTTTTTTCTCTTTTTCCTTCTCTTCTGTTCTATTTTAAATTATAACATTCTTTCTTTTTTTTTTCATCGACCGAACAAGAACGGTAGGTTGTTCTTCCACGCGATTACGTCAAATGACGTTCGTACATCATACACATTCGCCACAGACGTTACATACGACAACAACGACAACATCATCAGTAGAAAAACGAAGGGCGTCAGTTTTTACTGAAATTTTTTCTCTCTCATTGGTTGCCGATCATGATAGCAATATTGAACAATTAATGCAATGAGGTGAGACCAACGATGAAAAAAAAGATCGTTATATATTTTATTAAATTTTCGAGGATCATCAAAAAGAATTTGGTAATAATACATTTCTTTTGTTAGCATCACGTACATCATTTATCAATATAATCTGATGAATATAATTGAAAAGATGGTTGTTTCATATTACATTAAGAAAAAATAGTTCTTTTTTCTTATAATACGAGATTCGATATTAGACCGTCATTTTTCTTTTTTGTTCATAACAAATATTGATCTTCTTTTTTTCTCTTATTCAGCAGTCTCTTATATTATATCTATGTGATCGATAATTAACATATCTTTGAATAGAATCCTTGTCTAAAAAATAAATAAATAATAAAGCAAAGAGAAAAAGAATATTGGAAACACTCTCAAATAAATCTCTTTTTTTCTGCTCGACAATTCTCTTTCATCATCTTTGCTTCGTTCTATTGCTAATAATAGACGATATATGTGTTAACAAAATATGACCGAAGAAGAAAAAAAAATGAGAAGAGAAAGAAAATTATTGTAATGATTACTATTTGATATTATGTCACTACTCGACACATTTTTACTTCTTCAGCTTATTTATAATATGAAATTTCTTTCATGTCAAATACATTCTATTATGATAACAAAGAAAAACAAGTAAGATTAACAAATTAATAAGAGAGTGAAGTAGTTTGACATAATTAATTATTTTATTTATAATTTAGATTTTAATCCAAACAAACCAACAATGCACGGATCTTTAATTGATTCTCATCATAGATCATCATTGAATGGTAACAGATTAGGTACATTATCATCATCGGAACATATGCTTGCTGATGATGAACAAATAAATAACTCATCGAATGATATTCATTCACTTACTCCATCAGACTCCATACCTGTAAGAAGAAGCATTGCAAGTCTTCATAATATCGATGAAAATGAACCTACAAACATCATAATACCATCAACGGATTTTTTTCGTTGGACACGTGGTCATAGACGTGTTATGTTAACATTTTGTACTATATGTCTATTCGCTTTTATGACCGGTATTGAATATGCAGTTATTCTTCCAACTGTTTTTGACTATGTGAAAACTATGGCTAGTGATAATATATATGTTGGTTTAACTCTTTCATGTTACAGTATATCTGGTTCTATAGTTGGTATGATCATGGGAATAATCTCTGACATGACTGGACGTGTTAAATTTCTTATTATAATATGTAGCGTATTTGAAGTCGCTGGAAATATACTTTATTGTATTGGCAAGGATATTCGTCGTGTTTTATTAGGACGATTAATTGCCGGTGTTGGAATGGGTGCTGTACCATCTGTAAGTTCATATTTTTAATATCGATTGATAATACTTATATATTATTCAATAGATTCTTGCTGATATTGCTCATCGTACAACAGAAAATGATCGAACAAAAGCCATATCAATTATTCTTGGATGTCGACAACTTGGTATGACAAAATATTCAATATATATTGTTTTCAAAACTATTCTTATTTTCTAGGTTTGTTAATTGGACCATGTTTTACACTTCTTATTAGTTTAATGAATTTTAATATCGGTCCTGTTCATGTATATAATTTAAATGGTCCTGGTTTTTTAATGGCTACAATTTGGTTAATATTAATCGTAGTTTGTTGGTTTTGTTTTTATGATCGAACAACAAATCCAATATCGTCATCCTTATCAAATGGAATACATTCTATTATAAAATCAGATCGTACATCTGAACAAGAAAAACAAAAAGTATCATTTAAAACATATCGTGATCAATATATCCGTATTGAAATCTTTGTTTTATTTCTTACAACATTTATAACTTATTTTAATCAAACAGCATTAGAAACAATTGTTACATCGTTTGCTGAAACAAATTTTAAATGGAAAACTGTACATACATCAATCTTATTTGCTGTTGGTGGTTTAGAAATTATTTTTGTATATATTGCACTTGTAAAAATTATATCGAAACGTTTTGAAGATCGAAATATACTTATATTTGGTTTGATATCATTAACATTTGCTTGTATGATAGGAACATTTTTTACATGGGCATCACATTCATTACATTGGTTTGGTCATCCAAATCCAACTGTTGTTAATAAACCTTTACTTACATTATTTATTCTTTTTGTTATATTTGATTTACTTAGTCTACCATTTATAGCAGTAACGAGTGTATCGATTTTAACTAAATTAACAATTAAAGAATTACAAGGATTTTCACAAGGTATACAAAGATTAATTATGGGAATTGGAACAATTGGTAAGCTCATAAAGAATATTCTCATATTCATAAATATTTTATTATTCTAGTCGGTCCATTATTTGCTTCATCTCTTCTTCAACGTCTTCATATAATGATGACAGTTATGCTTATTCTAACCATATTAACGTTAATAGCAATTTGTATTGTTATTAAACGATTACGTCCATTATCAAAAAATCTTCCATCGAATGATATAGAAAATATACATAATAATAATCATAATTTATCATCGAAGAATGATAATAATGAAATAGATTCAACGATGATAATATCGTCAAAAAATTCTTATGTTACACTTATTCAACATGACGATGATCTATCTAATAAAAATTTTAAATCTAAATCACCAAAAAAACATTTATCGAATCATAATTCAAATGGTGAAATACAAAATCAATCATTTAATAGTCATAAACAATGATTAACAATGTACATGGTGATGTTAGAATAAATTAAAAATAACTAAACTTAAATTTTTATAAGTTATTACGCATTTTTATTTTATATTTGTGCCATGTTTCACGTTTCTTTTTTCTTTATTATTGCTGTTGTTTGTAGTTTTATTTTAATTTCTTGTGTTTTTTTCATTAAATAGAATTTGTTATAAACTAAAGTATTTATAGTACATCAAGTTTAAAAACCATTTTGAGGATGTGAGATGTAAAGTACTACAGTGAGTATATATGCTGTTTATTAAATATAAATTCTAAGTAATACAAAACAAAAAATGATCGAAATTCAATATAAAAAAATAAGTATCACTAGAATAATTCGAAAAATTGATTTTTAATCTATACTATGAGAAAAAACTCG